CCCCGCGGCCGCCCCGCAACCCCCGGCGGGACCCGCCGCCCCCCGCGGCCAGCGCCGCGCCTCGGGCTGAAACAGCCCCCGAAACGCCACGAGTGGGGCTCTGCAGTTAGCAAGAGTTGGGAATAAAGTGTTAAGGGAGTCGTGCCCCCCGCGGCGCTCTGTGGCACGCTTGCGAATAATTAATGGAGGGGTTGTGGGACTGAACGGTTTCGTTCGTGGCGCTTTTTTGGGGAAAGGCGCTTCCCGGGCGCGGGGCAGCTCCCTCGCACCCCGCGATCCGCCGGATCCCCTGCGGAGCCCGGTGGGGGGTTGCCCATCCCTTCCTATCCAGGTGTATCCCTGTCCATCCCCACCCGTCCCAGCCTTGTCCATCCCTGCCCGTCCCTGTCCATCTCTGCCCAGTCCATCCCATCCCTGCCTGTCCCAGCCCTATCCATCCCTCTCTGTCCATCCCAGTTGGGATGGGAGCCTCATGGTACCAGGGGATGCTGTGTGCAGCGGTGGAGTACATGTGGATGCTTGCTCCTTTGTATGGTTTTACCAGCTATCTCCATTTTCTTTTCTAAAATATGGTTTGGAAACCTCGTTACAAAAATTATACAACTTATCAGCTACACCTGGAAAACAAAGGCTGGCGCTTTGCTCTTCGTGTAAGTCAGTTCCCTAAAATACACAGGTATTTTTTTCTCTGTAACCCTCCCTCTGAGATTAGTGAAATGTCCTTTACTATACAAATATTATTTAACCTCTTTTGCAAAATTCAATTATCTACAACACTGTTCCCACGAACACACCTTCTTACATCATCCAGTTACTATATTTAGAAACACCTACAGTAAAATAATTATGTGAATAGAGCAAACAACTAGGAGGTCACAGTTAATGTCATCAAATCCACCTGTGGAGCTGCCCTTGATGAAGGAGGGGTGGACCTCAGGAGAAACAAGGAATATCACAACACATCTTGGTCTTTGAGGAGTTACTTTCAGTCTATTTTTAAATGCCAGAACTTTGGGGTACACAGAGACTGACAGTTCTGGAGTCACTGGAAAGACTCTTACTGATGTCTCCAGGTGTTGTTTTAGGCTGAGGCAGTTTTAGAAAGTCTTAGAGAGACTTGGCTCAGCAATGCTCAGATTCATCTGAAGCAAGGATCATAATATTTCCTTGTATCTTTTATAGGTCTTTTATTTATTTGTATAGTTTCCCTGTAATATGCAATAATCAAACATATTTTAACTGTGGAGTTTACAAGGCATAAAGGAGTCAATAAAGCAGAATTCTGCTGAAAATTATAAAACCTCATAGGTTTTCTAATGGTTTCAGGCATGAAGAGAATGCAGAAATGCCAGTATCTGCCACCTCACACGGCAGGGAAAACCTGCCCCAACCTCCAGGCTTTGCCTCCCTCCAGGTCCCCAGGGAGCCCAAACGTGAATATACACAAACAAGATAAAAATCATTGCTGGAGATATACAAAAGGCTAAAATCTGAGTTAGTGAGTTTGGAGTAGAGAAATGGGAGTAGTAAATATGATCAAGCATCCACGGACAAGGGAGTCATGGCTGTGTAAATGCTGTTGTCCAGCAGTGCACACCCATCCCTTCCCAAACACAACCCAGGACAGGCTCTGCGAGGTTAACTCCCAACAGGAATCACTGCCCTCCTGCTGCATATACCCTGTCCTCTGTCTCTGGGCTGAACAAAGCATGAGGTAGCTGAAAAGCAAAAACACACTCAGCTAATTCACAAAGCTCCCAGTTACTTACAGCAGAATTAAGAATTAGCTCCTTGTACTACAAGTGTTATTAAAGTGTGAAAGTGTCAAAAGCTACAGAAAACAAAAAGAGAACTCCCAAATTGTGAAACCTATCAGCAATTACAGACTTTTTTTTGTCTTTCTGAAATATGACAGGACAAAAGACTTAAGGCATCACTTGTACTTCACAAACCCACTGAACTGCCAGGAGTTTTTTTCAGTGCTGTCCTGATTAGGAGCACATCGTTTGGAGAGTGAGCATACCAACACATTAGCTGTTCTCACTCTTTTTTATTTGTTTAAATAACATAATGCTGCTAATGTGTCTTTAGAGTAAATTGTGTTTCTTATTGAAACTAGTTCCATTAGCTTCCATCTTGTAAAAATGAACTTCAGTTTCCAAGAACTTCACTTTCACAAGACTCCTTGTATCAGAAGGGTAAGCGCAGGCAAAATCTGACCTTAATTCACCATAAAATTAAAACTCACTTCTGAAGAACCTACAGACTTAGGAACAAATAATTCAAAGATAAAATAACTATATGTATGGGCATAGTGCCCCTGTGATAAAAGTCTAACTAAGGCTTGAAAATAGGATATGAAAGGATAATGCTTTATACACAGATCAGATGCCTGCCTTACTCCCACAGCTATCCTCCTAACCCTCCAGGTGACACCCTTACTGCAAACAATTCACATTTGTGAGTGAGCTGAAGGCACTGAACGCTTTGGATACCTCCAGAAAAGAAGAAATGGTAATTAGTTTTCAGTGGGACAGTTGTGCAGCTCCTAATGGGCTCTCGCAGTCCACAGGGAGCATGACCTCGTAAACTTTTGGCTGTGGACGGTGGGGGTGGAGCTGTGACCAAACCAATGTGCTCACTTGGAGGAGAAGACTCAGACGACATCTCGCTCAAGCATCCCTTAGCAACTGGACTGAAATGGCACTGCAGCTTCTGAGGAGGTGTCAGACTTCCTTGCCACTGAAATAGCCCATGTTCCAGCTCCTACCACGGCTGAGGAGACATGGCAGAGAGGACAAAATCTGTAGCTCAAAAAGTAAAAGCGATAGTGGTGATCTAATTGTACAGTTTCCTTTGTTTCTGGTTGTGGGAAACAGCCTGTTTTCAGCAGGGACACGGAGCTCAATTAACCTGGAGGACACATGAAGCAAGCGGTTCTTACAGCAACACCTTTATCTCCAATTTACTTTAGACTCTTTCCACTTGAAAACCTAGACTGTAAACTTTGTAACATTCCTCCCTACGATTATCAGGATGAACCAAAAGAGAGCTGGAGGCTTGCGTGTGTGAAATGAAAAGCAGCAGAAAAATACTCTCTGATTTAAAGCTGTCAGGGAGTGGATCAGTGAACAATAAACTCCGGGTCACTTCACCACAAACCTGAAAATGCAGCTACATATCTCAGTTTTCTCCTCTCCCTAGTCCTCACACCTGTGAGACTGTTCTACCCCCAAGAGTTTGGGTCAGAGCTGCTCATCGTGTCAAGGTGAACTTGCAAGGCGAAGACAGTTTAATCTTTTTTCACTGAGAAGCTGCAACCCTGTAACTCCTCCACAGCTGAATATATGCACCCTGCTTTCTTTTATAAAAATAATAAAAATGTATGCATTCTTCTCCACTCTGTGATTCAACTGAAATTTATTAAATTTATGTACCTTAGTAAGAAATTGAGATTTTCAGGGGGGCACTTTTTCTTCCTGCTTTACTCTAGAGATTTAAAGTACTGGGAAAATAAAACCAGCAAATAAATTTATATGACAAAGGTGCAGAAGAAGTTTCCCCTGTGCATAGCACCTTTGAGGATTAAAATCTTATGCAGAAATAAGTAGCTGTGAATTTTTGTTAAGGAGCCTACATTACCCCATGCTTCACTATGCTGTCCTACAAATTCACAGTGCCATGGCTGAGCAGCTGGAAGTGACTTCCCTCTTTTAAAAGCAGGGATTAACTCCGGGACAGATTGACTCTTTCAGTTAAAGGGCAATTTTTAATAGCACACACTGTATATTTTTGTGTATGGATACCTCTCTGGTTTAAAGTTAGTTATATTTTTTAGCTTTAGAAATACAGAACTGAGGGTTTTCATCCTGGTATGGTAACTGAAATCAAACCTATCCATCTCAGTGTATTTAATACCCACTAAACTTAGTCTTTTAGTTAGTTATAGATAAGGATTAACTAAAGTTTTGATTTAGACTTAGATCATTGGGGTTTTTTTAATCTAAAAAAGCCTCTTGCAGTGACTCAGGTCTGCTGCTCGTGTTTTCCTTAGATGGAGCCATCCTCCAGGAGCTATCATC